ATTTTTCAATAGATACCCTGGGTATTTCATTGTGATTTTTCACATTTCATTGCGATTTTTCAAATGTATCCCTGGGTATTTCATTGCAAAATTTCAAATGTAGCCCTGGGCATTTCATTGCGATTTTTCAAATGTATCCCACATGTCAGGGTCCATGCAATGGGCTTCCCTGGAGGGTGGTTACATGACCAATTACCAAAAATGGTCGAAAAACGAAAGTTGTAGCCCTACACTGTAGCTTCCCGAATCTGTTTGAATTATGTTCTGAAGTGTTCCTGTTGTGCAGATATGAGGTAAAGGAATTTCAAAAGTGTCGCGTTTTTTTTTTTTTTTGTGTTTTTCTCCCTGAAAACAAAACCAAATACCATGATTTCAGTATATTCAGAAAGCTAAAAGAAAGGGCTACAATTATTGTATCGTGGGGAAAATGACCAAAAAAGGAAGATGCATCCCAAACTATAAGAATCAGATATAGACTACCAAGTTTACTGATAGACTACAAAAAAGTCGGACTTAGACTACACAGTTTACTGATACACTATAAAAGACTACAAAAGTCGAACTTAGACTACAAAAGCATGGACTTAGACTACATAGTTAGGGTTAGAGTCAAAAGGTTATCTTGACTACAAAGTTTGTAGTGTGCGCTTTTTCATTAAAAAAGTTTGTAGTGTCCGCTTTTTGAGACTACAAAAGTTGTAGTGTTGCGCTTTTTCATTAAAAAAGTTTGTAGTGTCCGCTTTTTGAGACTACAAAAGTTGTAGTGTTGCGCTTTTTCATTAGAAAAGTTTGTAGTGTCCGCTTTTTGAGACTACAAAAGTTTGTAGTGTTGCGCTTTTTCATTAGAAAAGTTTGTAGTGTGCACTTTTTTATTAGAAGAGTTTGTAGTGTCTACTTTTTCATTTAAAAAAGTTTGTAGTTGACATGTAGTTTATGGTGTCCTTGGCCCTATCTATGTTATGGGGATGAGGTTGAAGGATTGCCATCATATTGCCAGTACTGCAACATTAGTATTTGACATCATGCACAAGTTGTCTTTCACATTAGGAAAGGCCATTCTATGTCTTTCATATTGATACCTACTGTCCTATCTCAAGACATAATTGTAAGCTCATATGGGGATATGGCTGAAGGATTGACATGACTTTACATATTGCTATTGCCACATCATCAGTTCCTCACATCATGCCCAAGTTGGCTTTCAAGCTAGAGAAGGCTATTCATGTTGATATCTACTTAATACATGGTCAACTTACAACATGACCTGTCTTCAAGACACCTCAAAGGATGAATCAGCCCATCATCCTACAGCCCTCAAAGACCTGTATCAAAGTTGACTATGTTTGGGACAGGCCAGTAGTTATCTATATGAAAGCAGACAGCATAAAAGGCAAACTTGGTCATGATGTCAAAAACTGGTCATGTCATGTCAATGAGCTTACAATTATGTCTTGAGATAGGACAGTAGGTATCAATATGAAAGATGTAGAATGGCCTTTCCTAATGTGAAAGACAACTTGTGCATGATGTCAAATACTAATGCTGCAGCATTGGCAATATGATGGCAATCCTTCAACCTCATCCCCATAACATAGATAGGGCCAAGGACACCATAAACTACATGTCAATTACAAACTTTTTTAAATGAAAAAGCAGAGACAACAAACTCTTCTAATAAAAAAGTGCACACTACAAACTTTTGTAGTCTCAAAAAGCGGACACTACAAACTTTTTTAATGAAAAAGTGCAACACTACAACTTTTGTAGTCAAGATAACCTTTTGACTCTAACCCTAACTATGTAGTCTAAGTCCATGCTTTTGTAGTCTAAGTTCAACTTTTGTAGTCTTTTATAGTGTATCAGTAAACTGTGTAGTCTAAGTCCGACTTTTTTGTAGTCTATCAGTAAACTTGGTAGTCTATATCTGATTCTTATAGTATGGGATGCATCTTCCTTTTTTGGTCATTTTCCCCACGATACAATAATTGTAGCCCTTTCTTTTAGCTTTCTGAATATACTGAAATCATGTTATTTGGTTTTGTTTTCAGGGAGAAAAACACAAAAAAAAAAAAAACGCGACACTTTTGAAATTCCTTTACCTCATATCTGCACAACAGGAACACTTCAGAACATAATTCAAACAGATTCGGGAAGCTACAGTGCAGGGCTACAACTTTCATTTTTTTACCATTTTTGGTAATTGGTCATGTAACCACCCTCCAGGGAAGCCCATTGCATGGACCCTGACATGTGGGATACATTTGAAAAATTGCAATGAAATATCCAGGGATACATTTGAAAAATCACAATGAAATACCCAGGGATACATTTGAAAAATCGCAATGAAATACCAAGGGTATCTATTGAAAAATCGCAATGAAATACCCAGGAATACATTTGAAAAATCACAATGAAATACCCAGGGTATCTATTGAAAAATCGCAATGAAATGCGCCAGGTATCCATTGAAATTTTGCAATGAAATATCCAGGGCTCCATTTGAAAAATCGCAATGAAATGCCCAGGGTATCTATTGAAAAATCACAATGAAATACCCATGAATACATTTGAAAAATCACAATGAAATACCCTGGGTATCTATTGAAACATCGCAATGAAATGCGCCAGGTATCCATTGAAATTTTGCAATGAAATATCCAGGGATACATTTGAAAAATCACAATGACATACCCAGGGATACATTTGAAAAATCACAATGAAATGCCCAGGGTATCTATTGAAAAATCACAATGAAATATCCAAGGCTGCATTTGAAATTTCGCAGAAAATGTGCTGGGTATCTATGGAAAATTCACTATGAAATACCCAGGCCTACATTTGAAATGCCTTTCAAAAAATCATAAGCATTATAGATATGGCCTCTAGGCTTAAGTCTAAGTTATAGAAATGACCCTCTAGGCTTGGGTCTAGGTTATAGAAATAAAGTGGTAGCCACTAGTGGGGGGTGAAGATGGGTCCTTGAAATGCGAGAGGGTTTTTAAAGGGGGAAACACGGATGTTTTCAGGTTAAATTACAACCCTCAATGCAACCCTATATCAGAAGCATAAATGATGTCGGCACAGGCCTCGAGGCCAAATTGCAAAAAAGAGTTGAAAGAGTCATAAACATAAGCATGGCCGGGGATTGAACCCGGAAGCTGGGGATTGAACCCGGAAGCCAACTACCATTAGACCATGCTGGCTTCCAAAGATTGTTGGTAAATCTGGGATAAGGGGTGAATTCTTGATTTCGTACTCCAATTGGTCTCATGTCCAGGCCCAGCTTGAACTGTAGTTTAAATGCCAAACAAGTCAGTGCTGAGTTTATAGGACCGGGTTCAATCGCACCTGAACAAGTATTCGACATGGTCGTCAGCTAAGTTACATTTTTTTGCCGGACTTGGCCAGGCACCAGGTTGTCTTATACACCGGGTTCACCCCCTGAACAAGTCACTGCGCAGAATTTGTCCTTTTAACTGCTGCTATTAGAGTGACATGGTCGGCAGGTAAAAGATACTGACCGACATTGTCTTCAACGTTGGCTTGGCCTAGTAGTTAAGCTGGGAGGTGTACGTAGTATATGTATGTATGCCCTGGGTTCAAATCCCGAACAAGTCATAGATTCGCGTTTTGAAAAGTTTTTTACTTACTGCAGGTAAAAGATACTGACCGACCTATGTATGCCAGTTTAAATCCTAAACAAATTTTTTACTTGCTGCTATTAGAATGACATGGTCAGCAGTTAAAAGATACCGACCAACATTGTCTTCCACCGTTGGCTTGGCTTAGTGGTTAAGCTGGAGGTGTACAGAGTGTATGTATGCCTGGGTTCGAATCCCAGAAGTCACTTACAATGATCGCAACTCTTTCGTTTTTGTAACTCTGGCTAAAATTTACTAATCAATTCTTACCGAGCTTGCAGACCCAGGTTAGTTGTCTTACGCTGGGTAAGTTACAAAGTGCCGAGCTTTCAGGCCAGGTGGATCATTGACTTGGCTCAGTGGTCAAGGTGGGAGGTGTACGCATTGTATCTATGTATGCCCTGGGTTCAAATCCCTAACAAGTCATGCTGTTCATCCTAAACAGTTTTTTACTTACTACTATATTAGAGTGACATGGTCGTCAGCTAAAAGATACTGACCAACTTCCTCTTGCAGTGCTGACTTGGCTTAGTGGTTGAGCTGGGAGGTATGCCCTGGGTTCAAATCCCAGAAGTCACATAGAGCGAAGACGGCCTTTTTGTAACGCTGGCTAAAATTTACTAATCCAAGGCTTGTAACATCCAAAGTCCCAAGAACGGGTAGTTGTCTTAGTTGTCTTATGCCGAGAACGGGTGACTTACAAAGTGCCGAGCTTGGACGCCCGGGTTCAAATTGCAGGCAGGTAAAAGATACTGGCCGCGATCGTCTTCCAACGTTGGCTTGGCTTCGTGGTTACGCTGGGAGGGTACGTTGTGTATGTATGCCCTGGGTTCGAATCCCACAAGTCAGTTACACCTATCGCAACTCTTGTTAAAATTTACTAATCAATGCTGGTTTGACCGATGTTGTCTGGGATCATGAAAATTTGAACTGCAAGTTCTGCCTGGTCTGCCTCTGCTTGGCTGCTAAATTAAAGGCCAAGCTGAAAACGATTCGGCTTGAAAATGCCGGCCTTGGTGATGCATTGGCTGATGAGATGTTCATAAATTCTCGTGTCCGGCCGACTCGGTGATATCCATGAACCATGACTACCGTGGGTCTCGCCAGCTGACCCTGGTAACCAGAGTTGAGGGCCCCCAGCCGACCACCAACCCAGGCGAATTCAAAATGTCTGCCAACCTTGCATAGCCTAGCTGCTAATCAGAAGTGAAGGCCCTCGGCCGATCACCAACCCAGCAACGTTCACAACTGTCAGCCGACCTTGCATCTTCCATCAGCCGATATACAAATACAATGTTCAAAACTGTCAGCCGACCTTGCATAGCTTAACTATCTTCCATCAGCCAATATACAAATACAATGTTCAAAACTGTCAGCTGACCTTGCATAGCTTAGCTATCAGCCGATATACAAATACAGGGACTTGACTTCCCGGGGCAGCTTCCTACTGATCGGTGTATGCTAAATCTATGTAGCTGGCTGACCCTTCTTTACCTTGATAGTGGGATCACATCGGCCAATTCATCAACACAGGGTTATTGGCCCTCATTGGCCCATCAGCAGGCACCATCAACTATGGCCTGTTTGTATTGTCGGGCCTCTCAGTGTTGGTGGGTGATTCCTACTAACTGCCCTGACAATTGGTATGTTGCCTGCTCGGTTGGAACTCAAGGAGAAACATTTTGACTCTTCAGTAGACAACACTATTGTTTGTATCCACTACAAATGCACTTCCAGTGGTGAGCCGCATCTCAACAAGAATCCGCTCAATTGCCAGTCCAGAGCCACATGGCGCCAGCCAAACGTAACTCTTCACCGCCTCGAGATGCACTACACCCATATCTGTGAAGTGCAGTAGCTTCATCACTCCTCCAACGTCAAGGTCCTTCCCTAAGTGCTGCACAGGCACTTTCGGTACTGGTAAGCTCTCCCTCCTTGTTGCCATTGTTGACTCTTAAATAATGTTTTATGCATAGTTTTCGGCTCCTGATGCCCCCACCCCGAACTTCGCCTCACCACAAGCGCAATCAAATGTTCCAATGTGGCAGGTACGTTCAGACCTCTGAAATGCCAAATTTGAACTACCATGTGGAACAGGCCCCTTCCTCCTCAAGTTTGGACGCTATTCCAGAAGCGCAGGCAGGTTTCGCTCTGGATCATTGGACGGGCTGTGACTGACTACCTGTCTTTAGTTCCTACATGAAAACTCGAACCCTGGAGCTCAATATCCAACCCCAGCGGTTGCTCCAGCTTTCCAGGGAACACGTGATCAAGAGGAGGAACAAGCTGTCGCTCTTATACTCCATGTGCGACATCATCAATGTCCTTGATGCTTCACTAACAGGTATCTAACAGTTGCAACCCAACCCTTTCCTCCAAGACGTCAATATGCATCAGGAACCGGGCACCGAATCAATCCCGCTGCAAGGAATATTGATGGTCGGGGATTCTCCCTTGGTTCGTCCCTGTGATCTTCGTCTTTGGTTTGCTAATTTGGTGCCAACAGCTGCAACCGGAAATACCTGTTCCTCAAAACTACAGGCTTCAGGCTCACAAACAACTCTGCCAGGAAATGCGACCACGACCACAATTTCTCACTTGGTTCGTCCTCCTAGTTATCTCTCTCCTATTCTATTTGCTCACTGGGCGATGGGAATTAGCTTTCGGACCAAGACGTGAACATGTCAGAAAACCCACCTGCTAATCCCAGGCCTATCACCGTAAGTCGCTTCTGCGTTGAAAATGATATATTGGCTTAGAGATTGTAGAACATCCCAATCAATGACCCTAGCCCTATCACAGTCAGTTAATTTCGTGTTTAAGATAATCCATCCACTTAGAAATTGCAGAATAGCGAAAACATCCACTGCAACATGGAAGGCACCTCTGACGATAATGGAACAGCTTGTCCACCCACCTCTGGTGCAACTGATGCTCCATTGGACATTGGAAATTTTATGGCTTTGAGCAGGGTGAGTGTTGGCTAAGATCTTTGTACGCGCATACTTAGACAGGCCACAGCTTTCATCGGAACTTACCTCACTTCTTCTGCGTGGCATCGGAATAGCCGTGCAGGAAGGGGTGAAACAAGGGGTGAAAGAGGCTTTAGAGACAATAGCATCACCATCAAAGGCAACACCATCAAAGAAATCACCCACTAAGAGGTCAGCCTCCCACAAAAACAGTGAACCAATGTCCCATGACGGAAGTTCTGAATCTTCCACCGATGACGATGACTTCATCTCCGCAAGAAAACCAACTGGTGAGAAGACTGATGAAGAGAAATCATTTCATGTAAGCGTCTATGGTATATGCAAGACCAGATCCTGATGTCAGTACCGCTAGACCATCCTGACGGATTATTTGAAGGGAAAGAGCCTCTGGAATACACATGCCAGTAAGACCGCAGACTGGTGCTTGGTCAACGACTTCGAAAACGACAACAACAACGGTCCCACCCTTGATGATCCTGTCTTTGACTGGTCTTCGAAGATGAGCAGCATGTGGAACAAGTCATAACAGACTTACACCCAAAAGCAATGGATGGGTTGAACTATTACTCACTCAGTAGTAGGTATTAACATACATGTAATTATTATATAACATCATCAACGCTTGTTTGAATTTTTAAAAGTTGCACCGGGCGGCTATCGATCTATCAAGAGGCAACTTCTAATCACCCATTGAATTCTGAGGAACTTACCTGTGTTATAATAGCCGGTGGCACCAACTCTATGTTCATCGAGCTCTTTCCATGCCCTAGAAGGTGGGAGAAGAGGAAAAGAATAAGATTGTGAGTGGTATGTCCTTCGGGTCGGCAATTTCTGCCCACACAAGTTCCTAAAGCACGTGTGGTTTTGAAGGACAACCCTGAAGTCGTCCGTATATATACCAACGACAAGTGCAAAAGCGTCTTCTTTCTTCCCACTTACCTTGTGTTCTTGCGATACCAGTGGTACTCCTTGTGATCATCCTCCCCTCCTTCCACTCTTTCATTAGTTGTACTCACTATGCGTAGATACTTTGTAGATATAATCAAATGTAGAATAAGTAGCCAGGTACCAGGAATGATTGAAGAAAACAAAAGCGATAAGTATGAACGGAAATGGAACTTTTCTCCATTTTGAAGTGGAGTAAGTGCAACAAAGAGTGCTAGTGATCACCCGACCACGGCTGATTGCGCATATTAGCAGGGTAGACATTCGAGCTTTTGTGAGTCATACTGTTGCCGTGGTGTTCAGGGCAGCTAAACTATGTCACTATTCAGCATTTTTCACAGTGAGTCTTCAACCGGACCTTGAGCAAAATTTTTGATTTATTGTCTTTTTAGTTTCCACACCCCCATTGAGACATTGGTTGATGTTGGTTAGGTCTAAAGTACGTGTTGATCCCTTGAAAATGGGTATTTCATGATTGCCGGACTGGACAGTTCTATTTATTGTTCGCCTCATATTGAACTGAGTTAAATACCAATGTTGCTGGACATGAATTACATTCTCAGTTCCTAACTTCCGAATCTCATCTGTAATGAACCTCGTGAGTAGCGTGATTTCTTCTGATTCTTCTAGCCCTTATCGCCTCGTAGGTTCACTCTGTTGAGAAGCTCGTCCATCATATGGGCAAGATCAGATGGCTCAGCCTTGACGATGATCTATCATTCTTGCTTAGCACTGGTGAGTTGTCCTCTTTGAATTAAATTTGTCCCCTAATCCCTAATTTAGCTGAGGATGGTGTCATCGTTTGGGACCTCAAACTCCGAACACATCAGGTCATTACCAACTCACCCAACTTAATTCGTCCTGCCTTCTGGATGCCGCTTCGCACGGACCTGTGGACGAAGGGCTTTGTATGTGGAATGGGAGGTGGAGAGCTTCACATTTTTTGACGCCGCTGGTCGGAGGTTTGTTGTCAGTCGTAATTTCGCTGTGATCTAACCATTTCCCATTTAGAATACATTCCATGATGTTCTTGTTCTTGACGATGAAGAAGCCAAGGAACGTATCTTCAACTATCTCTTCTATTGTGATCAACAACGATGTAAACTTTCTTCATCGTCTTAACCTGCCATTCATTAACATAGTGTTTGAAAGTCCGGTTCGGTCCGGTTTTTTGATGCCCAGGGGCGTTAACAGTAACCGTAACCGGTCTGCCTTTTCCCCAGAAGTCAAAAGACCAGACTGGACCGCAAAAAGACCGCAGACCGCAGTTTTTTGCGGTCTATAGACCGGTTTCGGTCTGCATCAGTTTTAACCGGTTTATGGCCGGTCTTTAGGCCAATATTTTAAATTATGAATCGGTAAATTTATTAACATCTCTAATAGCTTCAAAACGAGCCCAAGAACGTTAAATTCCGTTAGGAATTGGTGCTTCTATGAAATAAGTCTGGTACATCTATTATTCCCAAAAGTAATTTACATTTTAATTCATATCTCTCTCGTTTTTTTACCAAATCGTACGTTCTTGGGTGCGTTTTAAAGGGTATTTAAGGGGCTACAAAAGACCGGTTTACGTTAACCGGTTTTTTTGCGGTCTTTACATTTCAAAAATAAAAGACCGTAACTGCAGGTCCGGTCTTTTGCGGTCTTGGTCCGGTCTGGTTACGGTCTTTTTCCAGTCACGAGACCGGACTTCCAAACACTACATTAACATATATGTTATAGGCCGTTATGGTCACTTTGGTCATGCGCCTACAAATGAGTCGTTTCCCGATGTACATGCCAATCGTTGTGGTAGCAGCATGCTCATCAGAGCTGCACCCGAGCTAGGTGTTATTGAGGTTCACCGGGTGAGCCCATGGCCGGTCTGTGGTTCTTCTGCTATTTTATTGCTTTTATTGAACTGTGTGACAGGTTGAGCAATCCCGCCCCGCAGTTGGAGGTAGAGGGATTCAGCAACCTGGCCAGAGTGATGGGAAGGGAGACGCCGAACCACCCTGCCAGGACGAAGCGATCGAAGCTGCCGAGCGGTCACCTGGCTATAGCTATGGCCTGTTTTTCTCGTTTTTTCATTTCAGTCAGCCTACCCCCTTTTCAATCTTTATCCTTCCTTTATTATATGCATATTTTATATTGTAGCTCGGTTTTGTAGGTATATATTGACAACTCAATGAGTATGCGACGGGGAACTTCAGGAACGCTTTGTGCAGCTTTGTCTTTGTCCACCAGGAGAGGTTCGAAAGGCAAGCTCCACATATCGACCGCCACCGTCTCAATACCCATCTCAATATCGGCTTGACTATCTTCATGCGTACCCAACACCTGAAATCGGAGTAAGTTTATTTCAGCGCATCTGGCAGCGTTATCTCACAAAATTTATCAGAGCATTCTCATAGTCGGTTTTGGTAGGCTCCGCGCAGTTTCTTTTGGCAGTGGAGGGGACAGATAGTTGGAACTTTTGACATAAAGACCTTTTAGAGAGCGGTTGGCGTGATAATATCTTGTTGTAAGATATGTTTGGCGTGTTCAATCATTAGGTCTGCCATTATGGGTCAATGAGGGCATTGCGGTCCACTGACTCTTTAAAGGCTCAATTTCCATAGCAACGGTGACCATGTCCCAACTGTTGTCAGGGCAGTTAGTAGGAATCACCCACCAACACTGAGAGGCCCGACAATACAAACAGGCCATAGTTGATGGTGCCTGCTGATGGGCCAATGAGGGCCAATAACCCTGTGTTGATGAATTGGCCGATGTGATCCCACTATCAAGGTAAAGAAGGGTCGGCCAGCTATGTAGATTTAGCATACACCGATCAGTAGGAAGCTGCCCCAGGAAGTCAAGTCCCTGTATTTGTATATCGGCTGATAGCTAAGCTATGCAAGGTCGGCTGACAGTTTTGAACATTGTATTTGTATATTGGCTGATGGAAGATAGTTAAGCTATGCAAGGTCGGCTGACAGTTTTGAACATTGTATTTGTATATCGGCTGATGGAAGATAAGCTATGCAAGTTCGGCTGACAGTTGTGAACGTTGCTGGGTTGGTGATCGGCTGAGGGCCTTCACTTCTGATTAGCAGCTAGGCTATGCAAGGTCGGCAGACATTTTGAATTCGCCTGGGCTGGTGGTCGGCCGAGGGCCCTCAACTCTGGTTACCAGGGTCAGCTGGCGGGACCCACATGGTAGTCATGGTTCATGGATATCACCGAGTCGGCCGGACACGAGAATTTATGAACATCTCATCAGCCAATGCATCACCAAGGCCGGCATTTTCAAGCCGAATCGTTTTCAGCTTGGCCTTTAATTTAGCAGCCAAGCAGAGGCAGACCAGGCAGAACTTGCAGTTCAAATTTTCATGATCCAAGACAACATCAGTCAAACCAGCATTGATTAGTAAATTTTAACAAGAGTTGCGATAGGTGTAACTGACTTGTGGGATTCGAACCCAGGGCATACATACACGACGTACCCTCCCAGCGTAACCATGAAGCCAAGCCAACGTTAGAAGACGATCGCGGCCAGTATCTTTTACCTGCCTGCAATTTGAACCTGGGTGTCCAAGCTCGGCACTTTGTAAGTCACCCGTTCTCGGCATAAGACAACTAAGACAACTACCCATTCTTGGGACTTTGGATGTTACAAGCCTTGGATTAGTAAATTTTAGCCAGCGTTACAAAAAGGCCGTCTTTGCTCTATGTGACTTCTGGGATTTGAACCCAGGGCATACATACATATACTACGTACACCTCCCAGCTTAACTACTAGGCCAAGCCAACGTTGAAGACAATGTCGGTCAGTATCTTTTACCTGCTGACCATGTCACTCTAATAGCAGCAGTTAAAAGGACAAATTCTGCGCAGTGACTTGTTCGGGGTAGTGTTCACAAGTTCAGTTCAGGCCGGTTTTTTGCCCCCAAAACGCGCAACCGTGGACCGCAACCGGTCTAGGACCGACCCAGATATTGAGGGAACCGAACCGAACCACCTAGGACCTGTCTATTTCGGTCTATGGAGCTGGTTCAGACCCATCCAGACCGGTTTTTTTGTGAAACGCGACACTTTTGAAATTCCTTTACCTCATATCTGCACAACAGGAACACTTCAGAACATAATTCAAACAGATTCGGGAAGCTACAGTGTAGGGCTACAACTTTCGTTTTTCGACCATTTTTGGTAATTGGTCATGTAACCACCCTCCAGGGAAGCCCATTGCATGGACCCTGACATGTGGGATACATTTGAAAAATCGCAATGAAATGCCCAGGGCTACATTTGAAATTTTGCAATGAAATACCCAGGGATACATTTGAAAAATCGCAATGAAATGTGAAAAATCACAATGAAATACCCAGGGTATCTATTGAAAAATCGCAATGAAATGTGCCAGGTATCCATTGAAATTTTGCAATGAAATATCCAGGGTATCTATTGAAAAATCACAATGAAATACCCAGGGATACATTTGAAAAATCGCAATGAAATACCCAGGGTATCTATTGAAAAATCGCAATGAAATGCGCCAGGTATCCATTGAAATTTTGCAATGAAATATTCAGGGATACATTTGAAAAATCACAATGAAATGCCCAGGGTATCTATTGAAAAATCGCAATGAAATACCCAGGAATACATTTGAAAAATCACAATGAAATACCCAGGGATACATTTGAAAAATCACAATGAAATGCCCAGGGTATCTATTGAAAAATCGCAATGAAATGCGCCAGGTATCCATTGAAATTTTGCAATGAAATATCCAGGGATACATTTGAAAAATCACAATGAAATGCCCAGGGTATCTATTGAAAAATCGCAATGAAATACCCAGGAATACATTTGAAAAATCACAATGAAATATCCAGGGCTGCATTTGAAATTTCGCAGAAAATGCGCTGGGTATCTATGGAAAATTCACTATGAAATACCCAGGCCTACATTGGAAATGCCTTTCAAAAAGTCCTAAGCATTATAGATATGGCCTCTAGGCTTAAGTCTAAGTTATAGAAATGACTCTCTAGGCTTAAGTCTAGGTTATAGATAAAAGTGGTAGCCACCAGTCCACCCCCCTCATCTGCGACATGAATAACTTCACCCCCATGACAATCTGGAGTCTGTTGGGTATCCCTCCACCCAACCCCTACCCCGTAGGTTCTGTACATCTCCATTGGTTGTAACCAGCTGATGATTCATCAGAAAGGAACCTGAGTCTGGTATAATATGTGTAGTGGTGGCCTCATGTTTGCAACCGTAGACTCCACCGGCAGGTTGCCAGACGTGAGCAATCCCCTTTGTACTTCCTTTTTCCCACTAACATGGTGATTAGGGGACGATATTCTTGACCATCATCGATGACGACGGTGAGAGGGTTACCTTACCGTACGTCCTTTTTACTCTGTCCAGACCCCCATTTCACCTATTATGAAAGGGCATGTGGCGTAACATGGGTCTCTTAATACGTCATACCATTACCACCTGTATCTTTTTACTTAAAAAAAAAAATCATGTCGAGCCTTGTTTGAAAGCCCGGATGAGCAGAACTGATCTGAAAGGCCGGGTGCAACCAGACAGGAAAGACCACGATCCTATCCTAATGGCAGTTATGACCCTGACATGTTGACAGACGTCCCTGTTCTATGTAATAAATAAATCCATGCCCGAGCCTCATGTTTTGCCAGTTAAAAGTGTCAAAAATCCTTTTTTTTGTTCATGACTGCCCCCGATTTCTTTCAATATACAAGGGATCTAGCTGGATACTTCAGAGGCCGGTTGCGGTCTTTACATAGCCCAAGCGTTCCTCGTCCTGCTCCACCACCATGGTTGGAGCCGGAGGCCCAAGCATCTGTTGAAAGGGTAATTAACATGCTTGAAGAAGCATTCAAATCTTCATGTATGTCTCACTTCTAGCCGGCCGATCTTCACTAAGTTTTGGACAGATACGACTACTTGGGACGTCCGGGACTATGCTGCGGACTTGTCACCAAGACAGAGTGGAAGCAATGAGGAGTTGGAGAAGAAACTCTTGGCACGATTCCCACCGATCTACGAAACAGCCGGGTCCGATATCCCCTACCTCGATCAACCGTGCCATATAACCGACCGGCAGGGTCACATTTTACTTTGGTACTTTCCTGAAATGTTCTCAGAACAGCTTCGGGTAATTACTTTCACTTCATTACACCCTTAGACTTTCCTCACTTTACTAGACATTTATTTGGGATCACACAGGTTCTTTGAGCCCCAAAAAGAGAAGTAATGGGAGTTGGTGGGATCACCACCCCGAGAATGAAGGGGTCACTGGGATTGTAAATTTATCACCCAGCTGGTTTTCTCAAGGACATGAAGGTCCCGAGGATCCACTGCGCGCGTCAGCCGATATTCAGGAACCTGCCAATTCAACCTACCTCCAGAATGTCCTATTGGCCAATGCAATTGTTGGTGCAATCTATGCCGTCATACAACCCGATCTTTTTGAGTCCGGTTTAGCCACCTTCGAGAAGCTTGCCAATCATGCCGAGGCATTGGACGATCCTATCAATATTGCTCTTCGCATTTGGGCCACTCCCTTCACCGGTCTTTCAGTCATCCTGAACCGAGAGACGATCGATCACCGAGATCTAAAGGGGTATAGGGAGTCTTTTGACTTGTTGCTCACCATCGGAAACTACACAGGAGGCCGGTGTCACTTAGCCGGGCTCAGGTTTAGCCTTGTTTATGACCCTGGGACGGTTGTTGCCTTGGCCGGCAATGTTTTACAACATGGTGTTTGTCCTGTGCTGGGTGACCAGGCCTGTTTAGCTCACTTTTGGCACAAAAAGGTTGGGGAAAGGCTTGGGGTGAAGAGGCCTCAGTGGTTGACCATGGCAGACTTGATATATAATTTGTCTGGTAACTAATAAATAATGAATTACAAATCCGACCCAAACTGGCTCGGCCTCAGCACCAATATGTTCAAGGAGACGGGGGGCTTGATGAACCTGATCCCAGGCTTTCTCCACCTGGGTTTCTATGTGCTGAAAACCGGTTCTTGTGATACCTCATTAGGTCAATAAGAGCAGACTGCTGTACAATTTCCTCCCAAACCGAAATCTCATTGGTGACCCACTCTTCCTTGGCCTCAGCACGCTTGATACGTTCAAGGAGACGATCCCAAGCATTCTCCAACTGGGTCTTGATGTGCTGAACTTCGGCCGGTGTCAGCGTGGAGGTGTCAGTGTCCGGGTACTTGATTGGCAAACCACCCTTTGCCATCCATCTGAACCAATTGTATGACCTTTTCAGAAGTTGGTCGACGCCCCCTGGTGGAAAGGTGATGCGAGTATTCCACCACGCAAACTCGTATGCAGGCCGGATACGGTCATCCATGAAGGCTTCCTGAGGGTGCAGTGGGTTACCCTGGAGACAGGACTTCAAAAAGGGAGGGACGATAAACTGGCAGGAAGGTGAGCTCAAAGAGAAAAAATCTGGGGCAAAGTTTTACTTTATGCCCATAGGCGCATGCCATGCTGAGAGTCGCTATAATGAAACCCTAACCAAAGGAATGAGTTTAGCCGGGCATGGCAAAATAAAGCTCACCTGTTCGGCCGACATGTACTCCAACCAACAATTCTCGAACTTGGGGTCAATGGGGTTTTCAAGCTTTGATGTCAAAATGGCTCTGAATCGAGAGGACCAGTAGCAGAGTACCTCCTGGAACTCTTGCTCATCCTTCCAGAGGAGATTAGCCACTACAGAAGAATCTCTGGTAAAAGCTGGAGGCCGTATCTTCAGCACCTCGTCAACCCATTGCTCTGCTTGGCGGGGGTCAAATGACAGGTGTTCTTTTGCATACATGGTGGACAATGAGAAAGAATAGTTTGATTCAACTAGGATTAGGTAATGCAATGGCCTCGCACATGACCCCGGCATTTATAAATTCTTTGGTGGCCTGGAAGGCCAGTTCTTTCCACATACTGATTTGCCCCTCGGCAAAGCATACATGTCCCGGCTTGTCTGGCACCAAGTCCCTCAGCCCAGCCCACTCCCTTGCTTTGTTGATGAAATAGAGGCGGGTCCAGTTCATTTCGTTTGGGATCAAGGTATGCTCTTCTGACCACCGGTCATATCGAGCTTTTGCTCTGAGCCAATTCACCCGATATACT